TAAAGTATTGTATTAGACTCAAAAGTGTAAGGTCAAGTACTATGGGAATTTGTACAAGAATGACCAAAACTAGAACTTCCAATAAGGTTTGCCCTCCTTGAAATTTGCTTTCCAATGATACAATTTCTTTTACTCTCCATTAATACAATAGCCCCATCAAAATTTGTAATTAACAAATATGTAACATTTGATATTTTCACTATATGAATAGTATATAAAGGTACACTCAAAGCTCATTATTATCCATCTTGCCCTCTTTTTTTTTTTTTGATTTGGTACAGAAATCATTAAACAAGTTGGGCATATATTCTCCACTATTTCTCTTAAGAGATTTTTTTTTTATTTTGCATTTATCTAATCAGATTTTTCTTGACCAAGTACACATGTCCAAGTCTAGGATCCATAGCACATTCCCTTTCCCTATGTGTTTCTGCATTCAAGTTGCCACATTCATCTGAAAGGATAATTGCTAATGATGTATTTGATATCTTTCCTTTCCTAAAAGGGAAATAATTTTCACTGAGACATGGTTCATAACATTAATATTGCATTCCCATTTTATGTATTCAATCATTAGAACTCATTCTTTCTATTTTATCCTCATATACAAGAGTTTCAATATGCATTATCATCTATATGACAAACACAATAAACATCTATTTTATTAATAGTCAAAATGTTTACTCCCACCATCCTTATGCAACCTGAACTAATATGGATAATAATTTCCCTCTTAGTTTTTCTTCGTATTTTAAGCTTCGGGAGTATGATTCCAACTCCTAATTTTACAATTATGGGGAGCAAAAAGTTACAGCCTAGGAACTAAAGAGTGATTTCCCAAACAAGAACTAAGCAATAATTGATTTAAACAATTCAGGTATTATCTTCCAATTAGAATTGAATATCACTCAACAATAGTTCACAATATTATATGGTAATTAGATTTTGTTTTATCAAGACATGAAACTATTCAATGATTAAATTAACAAGGATGCCATTGTATAATTTTCACAAAAAAACCAAGAAAGTGGATCATACATATTATGATTGAATGAGAAACCTTTTATTTCAAGAACTAGTGAGAGAGACCAAAAAAAAAATGTTGGGTCTCTTCTGCCTAGTGGCTAATAAAATTTAATTGATTCAAAGAGTCCAAATATTAGTGTCTTTATAAAAACACAATAGTAAGTAGGTAGAATATCAATTAACTTCTTAGGAATCAAATGTTCAGATATAGTGGATTATCAATTGACTTCCCCACAATCAAATGTTCAAACAACTATTGATCAACTTATTTTAAGCCATTGTTGTTCATCACCAAAAAATAGCAATATTATGAGGAAAGATCAGTAGTCAAAATAGACATGCTATCCTCTAGCACAACAATTCAACAAAATAAGAGACTCAAATCAAACATGTGTTCTAGTAAACATGCATCAAATATTTTTAAAGCTTGAAGATATGAGGGAAAAATGAGACAACTCCTAATATATTGCAAGTCTCTAAAACAGCTTCAAAACTTCAAATGTTTTAGGAACAAGTCTCCTATTTGCAACAAAACTTAATGCAATCCATAAATTAGGCAAGAATTTCAATTAAAATCCCCAAGGTAATTGGTTATACAAAACTAATTTAAACCAATAATTCTAAACTGCTCATCCATAGACATATCTTGAGAATAGAATAAATAAAGGCAAAGAGAAAAGCTTAGTTGTTTTTGCTGAAATGCCTCAAGCAATCTGCTCTCAGAAGTAGCGGTAATCCAGTTCACCATCATTGACTCGTGCATAACATCAGGTCCAAACTAAATCTTGATTGTTTGCAGTCTTGGATGCAATAGGATGGTACCCGGTTTGTCCCTTAGTTTGATTCACTGCTTCAATCTCTGGCCCTTTTATTATACCTTTTCTCTGATGGAATCTGGTGTAGGCAGATGTAGGAGCTCAATGTTGCAATAAAACAAAACAGTTACCATAGATAGTCCTTTCCAAGATGAATACGTCTAGGTTTGAACAATCACACTAGGTTGGAGATGTTTGAGTTCTAGTTTGTTAGAAGCCAATGCGTACTGAAGCCAATGACAATGTGTTATGGTTTTATGCATATTGCTGCCTTATGCACAGTGACGTTCGACTGAAGCTAGTACGCAAAAGAAGATGGGCGCTGATACTTGGGCGCTCAAAACAGGTCCAGAGGCTTGAACGACTTCATGCATCGAATAGCTCTCATCTCATCTTTAAGTGGTATTAATCCTAAATAATTAATTAAGATGGGTAAGTAAAGAGAGAATGGACCATTCAAGAATCCCAAAAAATAAATGGAATCAAACCAATAAATAAATAAGGGTTTTTAATACCCGATTTGGATTTGGGACTGATTTCCAGCTTTCAATTCTCTAGGATGAGCAAATCTTGTTCTTAGATGCGTAGAGGATAAAAAAACCCAAATATACGTAGGGTTTCTTGACCAGAAACTCTGATCTGCAATACGAGTCATGGTTGTATCCTTGGCCGAAGTAAATCACCAATATATGCTTTCATTTGCAGTGATTTAAACAACTATAGCTGGATGTCGCCGGTTCATTTGGAGATGAGAAGAAAGAAAAACTCGAACAGGTGCTTCATGGAAGGTATACTACATCTTAGTGGTTTTAAACCATACAATGATTTCTTTAATTTATACACTTTATTTTCTTGTCCCTTTGCTACATGACCTTTAGGTTGAGTCATGTATATTTCTTCATTCAACTTTTTATTGAAGAAAGCAGTTTTAACATCTAATTGGCACAACTCTAAGTCCAAAAAGGCAATTAAAAACATTAGGATTCTAATAGAAGTAAACTTGGTAACTGGAGAAAAAGTCTCCTCATAATAAACATTTTCTTCATCAAGTATCATTTTAATCCTACGTTTCTAGAGAGCATAATTGGTGCCATTCAGTTTCTTAGTTTTACCGAGTTTTTGGGATAAGGCAATAATAGACATTGTTCAAAATAGCAAGAGTATTCAAAAATAAATAAAGCAAATACAGATATCAGTTGGTTGTATTTTATGAGACTGCCATTCAAGTTCGGAGGCCAAAAATAAATAAATAAAGTAAATGCAAATAAAGTACTTAACTGTTTACGCAAAAATACTAATCAGCAGCTAAGTTATCCAGCAGATTTAATTTGTCCAGCTCCAACTACTCCTTTTAATTCAGCGTCAACTTTGGCATTCGACAATGATACTTCTAAGTGGTTTGGAGCCTCAAAAAAAATTATCCTAAAAAAAATGACAGTAAATAATTAATAAGATGTTGGGGGAAAGACCTATATATATGGCTATCACAAAGATAGCAAAGTGTGTGCAAATCAAGATAACTTGGAAGGTCAAGCAACCTCCAAATCTCGGCCCCATCCAGATTTGACAAATGTCTCATACTGACTAAGGATCTAGCCACATGATCATCTAGTCTAGACTGGGCCAAATAGATATCCATTAACCCAATAAGAGCTGGAATTTGGATCTAGAATAATCCAACAATATTTGTATCTCCATGCATAAAAACATTTTCAAATAAACAATCAAATAAATTTATTTTTATAAAAAGTAAATAAATAGATAATAATTTAAAATGAATGATTGTGTGTGAGGGTGTTGCATGGAGATAACCATAAAATAATCATCATCCATCAACACGTGGCTTGTCACATGGCCATTAGATATTCCAACATGTTGATGATTAAACGAGGGCCTATAGCCACCCTACCAACACAAACAACTTGTGTGCATGGTGTTCAGTGCATCAAAACTAAACAAATCACCAATTAAAGAAATATCATCACCCCTTTTAATCAAACAAGTCAGCAAGAACTTGACACCACTTGTTGTCAGGTTTCTGGCAGGACAAACACATCTCTAAGGGACTAACAGTTGTAGACTGTCAGACAAGTTTTGTCTCTCATAGGGGTTCTGATTCATCAAAAGGTTTGGTAAACAGTTAAAACTTGATAAGTGTTGTTCACCACTTCAAAGTTTCGAACTTGTGCTGGTTGAAATTACCTGAACAGGAGCAGAACAGTTTACTGGGACAATGAGCTAGCGATCGTTACAACTATTAAAGTATTCTAAGGAGCCCAAGATTTGGAAGATGACATAGGATTGGAAGGATCTCCAAGAACCATTGCATTTGCAGACGTACCACCTCCATGGGAAACAGAAAGGTTGTTGCAACAAGCGAGATGCTTAGTGTTGATGTAAATTGTAAGCTTGTTGGATATGCGAGAGACCAGACAAGAAAACACAAGAAGTAGGTAAGGTTGGTGATGTGTGTGTGTGTGAGAGAGAGAGAGAGAGGAATGATTGGGTACACTTGACACTTGTGTTGGGCTCACCAGCTGGCCCAGTAAATACCCATACCGGCCAGCTGTGCAGGTCAGGTTTAGTTTGGGATAGGGTGGACCAGTCCCAAACCGATTATTAATTGGTTCTATAACCAGAACCAAACCAATTATTAATCAGGATAATTGGGTCTAGGCGTGATCATGAAAAATCGAAAAACCAAAAAAACTAACCGAACCGATGAGGCCAAATAAAAAATTCCCATTAACCAAATCAACCGATATACATACATACAAACATATATATATATATATATATATACTTATAAATGAATATATATACATTATATATTATAAAATATATTATTTATTATATATAAATATATAATATTACGAAAATCAAAAGAAATGGCATTTATATTAGGATAAATTACAAAGACCCTCTCATACTATGGGGTCTGTGATAAAGACCCCTATACTTTGTTTTGCGATAAAGATCCTCTTGTACTATGACCGTAAGACAACCCCCTTTAACCGCTAAGTCAAATAACGAAATGCATTAAATTACCAAAATATCCCACTAAATTTTTTCTATTTCTTTTCTTTGCCGTTTTTTTATGTTAAATTGTTTTTCCTCTATTCTCTTTTTTTTTCTCTATTTAACCCATTTCTCATCTTCCCTTTTTTCTCTTCTCCGTCTTCAATCTTTCATGGGAAAGGTCGCTGCCTCACTTTCTGGGTGCATATGGACCGGCATTACCTGCGACAACGCCAACTGTCTCGAAGATGGGCTCTTGCTTTTCCTCTGAATCCAGCAATTCCTCTGTTTCCCCAACAATCAAAGTCATCTCCGCGGACGGCAAGCTCCGCGACTACATATCCCCCGTTACGGTATCCGACTATCCCGGGCCCTCGAAATGGAGACGTCGCTGTGCTTCATCTGCAGCTCCGACAAGCTTTTCTACGACTCCCTCATTCCACCCTTGCACCCTGCCCAGCAACTCCAGTCTGGACAACTCTACTTCGTCCTTCCCCTCACCCGGATGCACTACCGCCTGACGGCTTCCGACATGGCAGCATTGGCTGTGAAAGCCAGTACTGCCCATTCTTACGACTTCCGACTCAGAGCAGAGATCTCTGCCAAGAAAACTGTTCAACATCGTCCCAGAGATCTCTGGCTGTTGAAATGGGCTTATCGTCCCAGAGATCTGCCAAGCGAACTGTTCAACAGAGAGATCTCCGTCGAAATGGACTCAAGAATCGTGTGCTTGAACATTTCAACAGCACATAAGCGAAACTGTTGAACTAGAGATCTAGTACACATCCCCCATTGCGGTATCCCACTATCGCAGGCCCTCGAAATGGAGACGTCGTCGTGCTTCATCTGCAACTCCGGCAAGCTTTTCTACGGCTCTCTCATTCCACCCTATTTAACTTATTTAACCAATCTCAGATGTCATAGACCCCGGTTTTGTTTGTTGACGACAAAGACTCCGACAAGCTTCTCTTTATTTTGTGGTGATATGTGACCATTAAGTCAGATGACGGTATCCCCCTGTATTTTGCTTCTCTTTATTTTGTTTGTTGCAGGTTGAACTAAAGCCAATGGCTGCCGGTAATTCCTCCTCCAGAAGAAAATCTTTTTCATCTCACAAGAAGAAGCACGTTAAGCCTTCCTCCGAGGTCTCCTATTGCTCTCTTTCTCTCTGTCTTCCATAATTTTGTTTTCTTTTAGGGTTTTTCTGATTTAATTTTATGATTCTTGTCGTCTGTTGTTGGAACCCGTGAAGGACTTGTAGTTGACGGAGCCGGAGACTCTCCTGCAGCACTTGCAGAGCCGGAGCCGCCTCCCCTGCAACACTTGGGGAGTTCGAGCCGGTGTTAGATCCTACGGTCATAGTACAAGGGTAGTATCGAAAGGTCGGGAAAGATGAATAGTGTTTTTCTGGGATTAAAAAATATTGTAACAGCCTTTTTAGACGGAAGGCTAAGGGAAGAGGTCTTTCACTTGGGGTCTTTGTCGCAAAACAAAATAAAGAGGTCTTTATCACATACTCTATAATACAGGGGTGTCTTTGTATTTTACCCTTTATAGTATCGACTCTTAATCGGTTTGAAAAACCCAATCATTAATTGGAACACAAACCACAGAACCAGAAGTGACAAAACCGGTCTAATTGGTTGGGTTCTATTAGGCAGATTCGACCCATTGACAACTCTAACTTAGAATGATGGTTTTCATCTTGTGGCCCGGCAAAAATTTTAGTTTCAGATCTATTTAACACAGCTGGACCTTATTCCACCTTATTTGGCCGAATGGTCCATAGTAGACCTCATATTATTTATAGATTGCTTGAAACACTTTTCAATTAACAGATAGCCATGGTTCAAAGTATCAATATGATATGTTTGATATGGGGCGTATCGTATCATATTTTTTAAAAAAGATATGGTCCAAAATGCCTGTTTCCAAGTGTTTTGAATCCCCAATTTTCTTTAAAAATAAAAAACATGCTAAAAGCTTCTCAAAAATTCAAAATATAAAAAAAACTAAAAAAATAAAATTCTGGCCGTTTCTAAGCACCGATACAATACGACCGGAACTCGTATCGTATCGATACTTTGAACCTTCCAGATAGCCAACTGGTTTGCACCTTTTGATTATAGGCTTGGCCTAGACTTATTTTATGGCCCATTTGTAAAATGGGCTACACCCAGGGCGCTCTTCACATCTATCTCTGCAGATTTTTCTGTACATCAAATCAGAGGGTATCATGTCGATACCTTTTCATGCATGAAACTGGTATGTGTTAGTGATATTAATGGAGTTTCAAACCAAACGTCCTCCCATCCCAATTTTGATATATTAAAATTTACATTAAATTCTAAAACAGGGGAATTCGTATTGAAGAACCCATGTACCATCATGTTAACACCAACCATGTTTTCAAGTGTATTCCATGTCACACATATTACAGAATGAGAATTCATACTTACCACACTTACCATGTATTATGTATTTAAATGCAAATTGTTATATACATATTTTGGTTTCTAAGTGTTAATCATTGAAAGAAATTGTGGACTGATTTGTTTTATGGTTGAAAATTCAAGATTGATGTACTAATGATCTTGGTCTCTTGATGGATCCTGGTTAGTCAGTTAAAGGTGTAGTGGGTTGATTGGAAGTCATTTCTAAGGTCCTTTCCTTTTGTTTTTTATTGGACACTAATTTTTTCAAGAATTTGATAGAATGTTAGATACCTTTTCTTATCCTTCAAATAGAATAGTAGATATTTAGGCTGAGTTTGAAAGGAGTATAAATGCAAATATGTAGAGTGTAAAACTTTATATTTTATATTATTTTATATATATGTATTTACGCTGTACATATTCACATTTGTACCGCTTCCAATCTGAGCCTTAATCATCAACCCAGATTGAACAGATGGAGAAAAACAAAATGGTCATGCATACATATAAAGGAGAAAAAGTAGTTACTTTCTCCTTTTATGTAAGTTTGCATAGAGGATTAATGTGAATTAAGAACTCAACTTTTGTCTCCAAGCATAGCCAAACAGAGGTTTGTATGTGATTTTTTTTTATCATTTTTTCATAGAGAAATAGTAATGCTTGTCAGTATGGTCTCATAGGCCAAGCAGTAAAGTAACCAGTTGCAATGTTTTGAATGAAGTATTATATTGGATAGGAGAATTGAATGATTACTAATAAGGCTTAGTTTTGTAGGAATACAGATACAAACATGTGCAGTATAAATATATACAAAATATAAGGTTTTGCACTCTATATATTTGTATTTACATTGTTTCTAAGGTTCAGTTTGGAAGGATTACAAATAAAATTATAAATAGTGTAAATACATACAAAATACAAGATTTTGCACTCTTCAAATTTGCATTTGTACTCTTTTCAAACTGAGCCTAAGGCTCCGTTTGGATGCAGTGCAAACTATACAATTTTTGCAGAACCGGTCCAAGTGTATGCAAAGTAGGGCCGGTTGTCTGGGGGTGCTATTTGCACTCTTGTTATTTGTTTGGAAATGCAAATTTCGATTGAACATATTTGTGCATGTTTGGCTTATTGATGGATGCAAAAATAGTGGCCCAAACTCCCGTAAAACTGATCAACCCAATTTTTGTGCCATAATCGACCACTTAAAGTTGTACCATGACCGTTATAGATGCCATGAAGAATTATGAAACAAGTTCCATTCTGTTACAGATGTACAATGACCAGTGACCACTACAGCTGAGCTCTATAAAATACAAAACAACTTTCATTCTGCCTACAACTGATAGGATTAAGGATTTACCACTCTTCTCAAATATGGGGATTGCTTTTCACTTGTTGCATTGATACATATCAGAGAAAACACCTTTAAACAATAATATAGAATATAATCCAGGTTCCACAGAACCTATTTTAAAAAATCTTCTTTGGAATTAATGCCTTAAAGATAAGACAGAACCATGCTTAAGTCATGATCACACAAGGATGGAATATAGATGAATGACCATGCAACATTATCTTAAATCATAATTTTTTGTATATAGAAGAAACAGATTGCTCAGCCCAACCCTGTGGAATGCTTCATCCTTTCAAGAAGGAAACCTTCTTCTTATAGAGTGTTATTATGCCTTTATAACTTCTTGGACTTCTTCATAAGTTGGAAAGCGAGATGCTGTAAACTAGGACCTTGATGAAGAGGCAGGCACTCATATCTTAATAAAGGGGGGCCATTGCTTGGTGCAAAATCTTGGACCAACAACCATGAGAATGCAAGTTCAAGTCTGGCAGTGAGCACTTTGTACAATAAAGTTCCAAATATTAGGTCCATATCTAGTCCACCCATCCCAAGACCCCAAATTAGGTCCATCAATTATGAATTTTTGAACTATCAAATTGGAGGCAACCATACACAAGAAGTTAGTATGAAATTATGAAATATAGAAAAAGGATCATTTTAATTTCACTTCCCATGATGAACTTCATATTCAGCATATTTGATACAGTGGAAGTTGCTCAGGTCGTATTTACATGCCATGAACTTGGTAGAAAGAGCATTCATGAGGGTTTTATCCAAATCAACACAATCCAAAAATTGTATCAAGTGTCAAGTAGTGGAATTGAAGTATAACTAGAAAAAGAGAGTCAAAGGAATTCGATCTGTATAGAAAAACCTAGTGGTTTTGGAAAGAGAAAAGAATATACTATTAGAATACCATTGGAAATACCCTACTTACAAATGGAACACAAATTAGGTTCCAAATGATATAGGCATCCTACAATGCTCAAAGTCAAGAAGATATCCAATGTCCAGAAACCAACAAAGAATTCAGCAAGCCTTTCAATCAGATGTGTTTCTCCCACTACTCAACATGCACCCACAAAAAGAAGAAGAGTCAATAGATCGGTTATTTATAAACACAATTAGCCAAAGCATGAAATGGACAAAATTAGAGATAAGAGTGGTTTAAACTTGTCTACATTGGTAAAGTATCTCCCCTCGCTATCAAGTCAGATTACTAAGGCAATTTAGAGATGATGGAATGGACCATTTTGACCCTACGAGACTTATCTCTGGTAAAAAATATTTTGGCTTTCCTATCATTTCGAGCAAAGTAGCCAAACACATCATCCAATTCTTTGTGATCAAAACCATCCAAATCCATGACCTCATTCCACAGCTCCTTGAGAAATTCTTACTCACTTTGAACTGTGAGAGTAGTTGTAATCTTGTTCATTGTTTCATTCATTGTAACAATTGCATGTATAAACTCATCGTCAAATTTCGTCTTACTCCCATGAACCCTTTTTTTTGAACTTGTTGAAGATGTTTCCTTATGCCATGTAGTGGGCTCTAATTGGGTCCCATCACTGATAAACATTGGTGTTGATGCATCATCATCAATATCTGCATCATTTTCATCATAACCAATTCCTTTAATCTCTATTTCATTTACCAACTCAATACATTCTCCAGCATCTTCACCTAATGCTTGGTCAGTTCCCAATACCATTTGCATTTCATCATACATCTCCATGACACAACCCTTTACATTAGGTACAAGTGGATTGGCTTATATTGTACAATTCATAATCAATACATGCTTCACTAACCAATTTTTTATAAATGAAGACTTACATAAATATATGTTTACCTGTAAATACTCCTTCCAAACTTCATGATTTGCTTCAATTTGATTTTTTGCTTCATTCCAATAACTGAAGCCACTTGTACCTAACAACTTCTTAGCCTCTGCGTAAATTGGCTTCAAGGTTCTCATCCTACTTTTAATGTGTGGTGTTTTCAGCTCAACTCCAAATCGACTAATCATTTCCTTGCATACATATGTGTATGCTAATGTTTGAACCCTTTGTCAATCTTGTTGCCTAAGGCAACTTGATCAACAAGTAGTTCAATTAGTACTTTATCCATTGCATCACTCTACCGAATTTGTCAAGTTCTTTCATGCTTAGTAGAGGTAGAGTGAGAGGCTGATAGGATATCCTTACCCTTATCCTTTTTGCTTCCAATAGATGAAACTTGGGTATTCTTTCCAGAAACCTTCCCTAACAAGCATTATATCCCACAAATAAATAGCATACACGTGATTAACAAATACATTAAGAAATAGAACACAGATGAGTCATAAATCCAATTAACATATTGACAAATCCAATAAAAGATGTTTTTAATACAAGTAACATGTTCAAAAAACTAATTAAAGAATACATGCAATAATAAAAACATTGGTTTAACATCGACGAGGTTCTAATAATTAAGACACATCATCAAATAAGACCTCGACACATTCTCTTTCAGTCACAGAACATGTTTGATCCAATTTGATCCCTAAATGATGACCACCTTGCTAATTCATTCACTTGGAGTCTTTGTATTAGCGATTATGGGAGGGGGGTCATTATCTACATCTTCAACTTCATCTACCATAACATGTCTATCTGCTTCTCGGATCCCTTTTCGAGTAACTTGGTCGAATGGATCAACTCCCATTATGTGATTAT